AACCAAAGAAATTAGAGAAAAATTGCTAAATAAAAAGATGGTGATGACTTATGTGCAATTTGCATATCTATTTCTTTTTAATGCAAATTTAATTTTATAGAATAGATACTGCTGTAAATTTGGTGAAAATGTAAAAACTAGTCCTTTTTTTGCCTTTTACATTTATGGTCTCATTCTTGTTGAGATTTAACTTAGATACAATCGAGACCTTCTCCACTCGTACTGTGTTTTTTTTTTTTGGAAAGATAGAGAATCTTATAGAAACAAAACGCATAAATGTGAAAAAATACAGCCCTTAGCGGAATGATACAATTAACAGTTCAAAAACTGGGAGGTATCGACACTAGCATCGCTAGAACAAACCACAACACCCACGACACCTTTTGCGTAGTTTAGAGTGAGAATAATTGTTAACCGAGTAATTCAAACTTCGGGTCATCTTTCAAGGAAAGCTATTCGAAGTTTCGCTCACTACATAGGTGTCCAAGATCACAAAACGAGAAAAAAAAGGCCTAAACTTCTAATAAAGGAGATTGGATTGATTAAACACTAATTTTGATTGAGATTTGAAAACATTAGAAAGCAAGCAAGAAAAACGAGAGCTAACTTGAAAAGATGGGAATTTATAGTAACATGAGTCTCTAAGTTCTTGGGATAGGTTGTGTACTGGGAAGGAAGAGGGAGGATTAGGGTTTAGGGATTTGAGTGATTTTAATGAAGCTATGTTAGTGAAGCAGCTGTGGAGGATCATTTCTAAACCTAACCTCCTTGTGAGTAGACTGATGAGAGGGAAATACTTCTGGAATAAGCATATTAGTGAGGTTAGAGTGAGGGGTTCTGATTCTTGGGTTTGGAGATGTTGGACGGGGGCTAAAGAATCTCTAGATTTGGGATTTAGATATCACGTTGGGGATGGTAGACATATTTCTGTGTGGAATTCTCCTTGGATTCCCAATAACTCTAACCTGGGCCTGGGTTTCAAGGGGATAGGGAGAGGATTAGACAGGTGAGTGATTTAATAGATCCAGAAAAAAAAGAGCGGGACAGGGAATTAGTGTTACAAACCTTTAATCCCATTGATGCAGAGCTTATTCTCAATATTCCAATCAGCCAATGTGGAGGAAAAGACTTCTTGGTGTGGCACTGGACCAAAAAGGGAAGTTTAAAGTGAAGAGTGCTTATGCTGCAATTAGAGAACACAGAAAAAGACAAACAGAAGGGGAACCTAGTGATGGCAGGAAGACTCAACAACAGATGTGGAGAGTCACATGGGCTTTGCCAATACCTCCTAAAATCAAGATGTTCATATCGAGGTGTTGGCATGGCTTTATTGCAGCAAAATTGCAACTAATGAGGAAAGGGATGAGAATGGACACTATGTGTGACCTATGTGGGGAACAAGAGGAGAGTTCAGAGCATATGTTAAACAAATGTCAAAGGGCAGCTGTCTGTTGGAAGCTAAGTGGATTGTGGTGGCAACAGAAGGAGAAGAAGAATCAGAGCTTTAAAAGATTGGTGGCTTGATCTAACTCAAATTAAGGAGGGAAATGCCAGGACAGACAGATTAAGCTTATCAGCTATTTTGCTCTGGAAAATTTGGAATAGCAGGAATGAGTGGTGTTTTAACAGGAACATGGAAGCAAAATGGGTAACAGTGGAAAAAGCTAAGGAAAGTTGGATGGAATTCAGGGCAATTACAGAAGAGCATCAGGAGAAGACCAAGCTTCATCAAAGCCCAAGGGCACCTCAAGTAGAGCAATTTTCCAAGGAAGTAGGACAAGTTAGTTGTGCTGTCAGTACTTCAATCTCTACAAGGGGTGATCTGGGATTAGCTGGGGTTGCTAGGAGAAATGATCAAGAGCTCATCAAATGGCAAAAGGCAGAATCTGGTACAATGGAGATCACAAAAGGTTTGTTAAGGGCAATTAGAAGTATGTTACAACAACTGATTGCATCTCAGATTAAGAAGGTGGTATGCTATGTACCTGATTTTACTGTGGTCAAAATTCTAAAAGATCAAGTCGAGTGCAAGGCCAGGTATAAAAGTATTTTGCTGGATTCATGGTGGCTGTGTACTAATGAACTTAGTAGCAACTTTATTTTTGATCCAGGTGAATGTAATATTAGGTGGTTGTAATTTTGTGTTGGGTTTCTTTAGTTGCGGAGGACGAGCAATTAGTGGTACTGGCTCGGTTTATATGTAGCTTGTAGTTGCAAGTTCATTTAGGTTCAGTGGAACCCTCGGTTGTAAGATGTTTTTTGAGTTTTCTAATTTACTTATCATTCTGGCAAAAAAAAAAAAAAAAAAGAGTCTCTAAGCTCGAAATAAAATGCAAATAAACTAAGAGGAATATGCAAGCACTAACTCCTAGATAATTAAACTAGCTTTTCTAAATTTAAATGATTGAGCTTAAACAAAGTCTCAAATTTTAACACTGATAAGCAAGTAATTAACTATTATAATCACTTAGGCAAGCAATAAAACCAAAAAGCTCCAAACTATCCCTCATTCATCAAACAAACGCACAAATTAACTTTGAAAAACATCATAAGCAAAAAATGAGGCAAACACGAGGTAATGAGACTAGAAGCTAGTACCCACTCCCCTATCGCGTGCTAGACGAGAATCAAAATAAAAATTAAGAACTTGCATAAAAACGATGTCACAGAAAGTTGCCAGAAAAATGATAGTCATAGAGCTCCAATAAAAATAGAGAACTAAAAACGAGAGAACAATTCTTAAAGTAGAAAAGTAACAAACAAAATCTAAGGGTTCCCAACACAAGGGACTAAATGTATTTATAGTGTTCTCCAAAACACACACTAGAAAAATGTAGATTTAATGAATAGAACCCGCAACATTGCGAAATAGGGCTTCTGGTCGCGATTGTGGCTTTTGCACGGGCACGCGCAGTGTTGCAAGCTTGCATAGGAGTCACGGAATCAGTGTTGTGGCACGCGCAACGTCGCGAATCCTCGCCCCGACCGTGAATTTATGAAGAGCTCGGGTCGTGCGCGCGCGACGTCGCGGATCCTCGCATAGGTCGCGAATTTGTGGAGAGCTCAGGCCGCGCGCGCAACTTTTCGGAAGTGCCCCGGGGTCGCGGAATGAGGTCTGGCGCGCGCGGCGTCATGAGATGACCTTGGGGTCACGAATTTTTGTGCCCCTAGGGACTTTCACAAGGCCGCGGATTGGCGTCCAGGTCGCGAACGGGCTAGTGCTGAAAGTGCCACTCGATAAAGACGATACTCCCAACCGATCTTGTTCCATTAAACCTACAAAACACCGAAAAGACAAAGAAAAGCAACGAAAAACGAAAAAAGACTGCTTATATATATAAGCAAATATGTTTTTTCTTTCTACGTTATTTTTATCTTTAAAATAAAAAGATTGATCAATATAGATTTGTGGATGGAATCAAAAAGACATATATGGTATAATCATAACCATAGAATACGGCCCTAATCGAAATGCATACATTTGTCTCATATACTATGGGGGATGGTGAGAAGAGATATATTTTACATCCCAGAGGGGCAGAGATACCATTGTTTTTGGTACAGAAGTTCCTATAAAAATAGGAAATGCCTCCCAGAGGGAAAAGTAGTTGCTTCACACATATTTTGGTGATGCTTTCCTTCACGACCGGCCCTGGCCCAGGGCGACCTAGGCAACAGCCCAGGGCCCAATTCATTTAGGGGCACCAGACCGGCCCATTGTCTTTTATCTCATTTTAGTTTTGTTCTTAAAAAAAATGAAGTATGACGCACAATTCAATGAGGGGAACGAACGTTTATTGCAGAAAATCTCCCTCCAATGTTAAAAGTAATTAAGATATTTTTTTTTCTCTTCCCAATAAATTTTTTCTCACTCTCACTGTATGTTTCTCTCTCCCCCTCTCTCTACTTAATTATCTATTAGTATATTATTATATTATTTCAAGTACCCTAATTATCTTATTTACTTTTGAAAAAAAAATATATAATTTTCTTTTAAGAACTTATATTATTTTATAGCAGTTATAATTTATTTATTATAGTTTAGATCTGCTTCACTACTTAAAAACGTTTAACTTTCTACTTGATTATATGTTATATTATTACATTATTTTAAATGCCCTATTTATCTTATTTACTTGTAAAAAAACTTTTTATATAATTTACTTTTAAAAAGTTATATTTTTTTTTTTTGATAGCATTATAATTAATTTATAGTTTAAATTTGCTTCACTAGTTCAATATTTTTCAAGGAAGTTTAAAATTTGTTTAATGTTTATTTAAACAGATTTAGTAATATTTAATGAAAACACCTATTATCTTTTACCATGTCATTATCTTTTATTACTGTAATGATTTTTTTTTAATTGGATTTTCTGTAGTTGCTAGCTTTTTCTATGAGGTTGCATTTTTTTTAGGCTATATAATTCTATTATTTAATTTTTTCGAATAAAGAAATGGGTTATGA